GCTGAGGGTTGTGGTGCTGGGACGGGCGGGAGGAGAGGTTGTCGTTGGAGGATGTCGGGGAGGTTGTTGTGGTTGTGGAAGTGGCAGGGGTAACGGCTGATGAGCAAGATGAGGACGACGAGGTTGACGGGGTGGCGGGGTCGACGGGGCCGTCGCGACGAAGATGGAGTTCTAAATGCTCGTGCTCCACAATCTCGGTCGCTTCGACAGGTGGGTCCGACTCGGTCACATTATATCGCCTCAGGTCAACGTCCGGCCTCGGTCTGGGCTCGCGACCCCTCGGATCGCCTTTTTGCCTCCATGTTCTCGGCTGCTGAGACTGCGGGTGCGGGAGGTTGGAGAGGAGGAGCAAGGTTGACGGTGGGAGGGTCTGGTAAGGCAGAGGCGAAGCATGCAGGTTCGAGGGATGCGTATGTTGGATAAATGACACGGCGGGTAATACGGAAGGAGCCTGGGCCTGATGAGCAAGCGGCGGCAGGTGGTGGACGGTCGTCGTCGTCTTCGTCGTTGTGGTTGTCGTCGTGGTCTTGACCCGCATGGTTGCTCGCGCTAAAGGTGAAGGTCGCTCGTGGAAGGATGGGGTCCTAGATATACAATACAAGGGTATTTGCCGCGTTGTAATGGCGCAAAAACTTAAGATATTTTAGGGATCGTGGCGGTAAAATCTAATACTGGAATGGAAATGGCAAAAAGTGGGCGTGGCATCGTCGATCACAGCTGATCCTTCAGCAACGTAGCGGAATCGGAGCCCTATGGCCAAACCGGAAATCGTCCCATTCCGCCATTAAGCTGGGAGAGGCGGGCTGCCCTTGACTTCGGCAACGGTGTCGCAGTGAAAGCGTGGTGGAGATGTTGCTCGCCCACCGGGCATAGGTGTTTGCCGTCGGCGTGGCCGTTGATGTCGTCGCAGCGCATCGTCATGGCGTGCTCGCCGTGACGACGGTGAGGTGGCGCAGAAAGCGATCAGAGTTCCGATTATTAATCGAAATCACTGCGTCCTGTATTCGACTTCTAACTCTTCCTTGCATTCCTTATTACAGCGTGCAACAGTTACAGCCGCGGTGGAGGCGGCTGGTAAAATGCTCACCTATCCACCTTCCACAGGTTCATTTGCGAACGAAAAATGCTTGTGAATCATCGTCGACGATTGGTTATGCATGTTCGTAAGTTTACCACCCGACAAAATATTATCAGCAAACTCCGACCTTTCACGGCCTGATTCACGACTTCCAGGTGACGAGATGCGCTTATGCTGTTGGGCTTGAGAACTGAATGCCCTGAATGCAACTTCGACAGCGCTTTGCATATCAAACAACTAAAGTTCAGATGGAAGCTCAATCAAATATCTCATTCACTCCGCATAACCAAAGCAGCATGACAAGCTCTAGAAGTTCGTGCGATTTTCCATTTTACAACACAATCCCCTCGCCTCCCACATTCCTCAGCTTTGAATTTTTCAACATCAACAACCGTCGCATCATTCACCCCTCGATTCTCCGCGGATGCATTGCCGGGGCATGGTACAGCGTCAGCCGGTTATGAACTGTCAGATGTTCGACTGTGGGAAACAAAAGTTGGTGAATCATCCGTACATGCTAAACTCCTTCCCCGGTTATCACAGCATTTTGGCGCAGAGGAAGCGCGCGGGGCTCATAACCCTGAGGTCGCTGGATCGAAACCAGTAAATGCTACAAGATGCCTTTACACAGTGATAAATTTCAAAGGATAAAACCTTGATAGGCACATCGACAAACATTTTGCCTTTCCCCCAAGTTTGCCCATATTGGACGAAAGGCCGCTCGGACGAGACCGTCCAGCCTTCGATTCGACTTTCTGCATAGATAAGACTCCTTTGGTATCCTCAAAGCATCCGAACACCGAACCAAACATTTTTGCATCTGCATCCCCTCCATCGCCGCGACGATCCCCAAGCAAGCAGCGCTTGTTATCAACTCGCTGCAGCGCAACAGTTGCGTAAACAAATTTTCTGCAACGGCGCACAAGCCCAGCTAGCTCAATTGGTAGAGCGCGAGACTTTTATCCTCTGGGCATCTCGAGGCTGAGGGTTCGACCCCCTCGTTGGGCAATTAAACTACGTAGCAGAGACCGTTTGGGGAGGGTGCATCGGATATTGCTTGCAAGAGGGAGAGGAGGTGCGTGCCGCTGCTCCCAGTTGCCTTGCGATTTTGTTATGTCGGAGCAGACAACATTGCTCAACGCCCGCTACTTCAGCAATCACGGCTCGTGCGCACGATGCGTTACTTTTTTTTTTTTTTTATTCCAGACGGCCAACTCGGGTACACGACTTTGTGCTTGCAGGCGCCCAACGCGTGGTCAGGACATGCCCAGACGGGTGTTGTCGATCTCCATGGGCTGCATGACGACGTTGACGCTTGCGTGTTCCTTTGGCAAGACCAAAGATTGTGGAATGATGATGTGCTGCGTCGTGCAGGTGGGAATGATGACGTTGCCCCTTGAGGTGGCTTGTCGGCATCACAGGTTTGGAAAACAGAAAAATATCACATACAAAACCGTTTCCACCAGGAGGACGGAGAAAATTCTGCGGTAATGCATTATCAAAACTTATAAGATGGAGAAAAGACTTCAGCAAGTGACAATTTATTTGTTTTTTTTTGGTTTTCCTTTAGGCATTTGAGAGTAAGAAATAACGTAAGCGGAGGGATATCCGAGATAACTCTTCCTTCTCACTTCGAAATAAAACAGCGTAAAACTACTCGCTTAGAAACACTATAAAACTTCCGTCGGTCCGTATGTGTCGTTAACTCCCAACCAAAAAACCTAATACTCGGCTGCCTCTCCACCACCAAAATCCCCCATCGCATATAGAACTCGTAATGAATAGAAAGTAGCCAGTAAGGATGTCTAAAGGCAGGTCGTTCGCAGCAATGACCAAAGAGGCTGTAGGACGCGCTTTGCTAGGCGGATAGAGCAATGACAACAGGCTGACTATAGAAACCAAATAAGTGCCAAGGCCTAAAGCGATGATGATGTGATATCGTGATGTGATGATAGATGGTTGAAGGGAAGAATGAAATGTGGATAACATCGACATGAAGACCGAACCCCTCGCAGCAATAATGATAGAACCCTATTTGTTTGGAAAACCGTGTAAAAGTAAAAAATGATGCCTTCTCGCAATGTGGAGAAACAAAGGACAAGATAAAATTATGAAAATATATGTACGAGACTGCCCCTCTCACCCTCTCGCTCGCGCCCTCTCTCTCAACTTAACCTTCCTCCCTCGCTGCCTTCACCACCATCGTCTCCTCCCCCTCCTCCTCCTCTTCGTCTCGTGACTCTCTCTCACCACATCTTCCGATATCGACGACCAACCTGGGTCGACAATAATTCTTTTCTGGTGAAGCCGACATCCGTGAACGGAGAAAACGCCCCCTCTCTGCATCGCTCTCACCCGCTCTATGCCATCTGCACCTCCTACACCGGCCCACCACCGCCACCCGCGCCAAACCCCTTCCTAACCTCCGCCAACCTCCTGTAGTGCGCCCTCACATCCTCCCCCTCCGCCTTCCACCCC